ACAGGGCCTGTCTCTGGGGCCACTGGCCCACTGCCGCTGCCCACGCTGCTCGAGGGGCTGCCAAGGGAATGCTCCTGGGCGCCCGCAGGGCAGCGTCCTGACTGCTCAACGCATTTCTGTGCAAATGCTTACTGAGCATCTCTTAAATGCCAGGCCTACAGATACGGGACAGATTAAGACCAAAAAAATGCAGTGCGGCAGAATGCAGCTTTCTTTTCTTCTAGGCAGACAAATCTGGGTTCACAACCGAGCTCTGCCTGCTACTTAGGTAAGTCACCACAGCAAATTACTTAATAGCCTGAACCTCAGTTTGCTCACCTGCTAAATGGGAGTGATCACTATGCTGTTGACAACCCGATCAACAGAGACAGCCCACATTACCACACGTGTTCACTCTGGATCCCTGATCTGCTAAGCTTTCCTGGAACCCCTTCGCCTCCCATCCAAGAGAACCAGAGATGTTTTCCCAAGGCTCATCTGGGACAAACAGCTAAACCCGCAACCCTCATTTCCCCTGTATGCGCAGAAGCTACACATCATTAACTTAGATTTGCCACCCTCATTGCTTCCCTGCCCCTCCTTTTGCAGTTACTTACTTTGGAAACCGGCCCCAGATTTAATGCACCTCAGATGAGTTATGCGACCGGCCGCGAGGATGATGACAGAAGCATCAATTTCCTCATGAAAGCCCAAGAGCACAGGCGATCCCACAGGCCCGCGGCCCGCGCGCTGCGCTGAGGACGGCCGCTCCGCAGGCCTGCGTTTGGCTTGGCAGCGGGCGCTGCTCACAGCAAGCCCAGACCCTGGCCGTGGGCTGGCAGCTCTGATCTAAACTATTAGGAAGGCTGAGGATTAAATATTTGTCCAGGTCACTGTAAACCGGGTGGAATTATAAACAGTTCGGAGCGGTAAGTGATGCAGAAAACAGTTTCCGGATACGGGTTTAGGACTTTCCACCACTCCCCAGGTGGCAGGGTGTCGGGGAGGATGGCTGCGAGGGAGCCAGCTGCCTGGGGTCCGGCAGCCCCTCCCTGGTCAGCGGTTCCTGGAAGACGAGGGCCCATTTCCATGCAAAAGGATGGTCTCTGCCCAGTGAGCACTAGCCTCTGGGACGGTGTGGGGACAGCTCTGCCCAGAGGCCAGAGAAGGGGACCCCCGAGATCCTCTGCGGCTCCAGGCCCCGTGACACGGCAGAGGTGGTGCAGGTTCTGCACGGAGAGTGTGAGGCTCCGACACGTGGCCCAGGCACCTGCCTTGCGCTTCTACTGTTCAAGTGCATGGAGATGCTTCTGTGACTGCACTTAAAAGAGCTACTGAATTTATCCTTCCTGCCACATTTTAAAAAATTAATGGTTATGAAAAGTGTAATTATTATCTTACTGAAAAAGCCATTTTGATATTAAAAGGAACCCTCATGAAGTCAGGCACTCCCAGGATGAGGATGGCAACGGTCACCTCTGCCAAGGAAGGCTCCCTCCTGAGGCCCTGCTGAGGGATGCTGCACTGCAGCCAGCACCGGCTTCTCTGAGGCCAAGTCTCACAGGAGACTCAGGCCAAGCCGCCTGTCTGTGCTTCCTCTTCCTGTCACACGAAGACACCACTGCCCTGCACCAGCACAGGGTTAAGGCCTTCCCTTGGGGTGGGGCTGTTAAAAGTCCTAAACAGGACTCTTAAACGAGGGTCTTCAACCTGCTCAGAAGCTTCAAGCAGCACGTGAAGCAGAAGTGAAGACAAGTCTGCTCCAGGGGAGGCGGCACCTTCCAGTCCAAGCTCCCAGCTCACCTCACACACCTGGAAGGGACACCTTGAAGATGGGCTGCTCACGACACCTAAGCCAAAGATGGGCAAGAGAAAGGTACACAGCAGCTGTGATACTGTGATTTATAAGAAATACACAGTTTGGTCATTCGGATGACCAAAATACATTTCTCACGTACATCTGCTCTTTATCCATGGTTCCGGGCTCACAGCTCCCAAACCCTTGGAATTTCCTGGGCGATAAGAGCAATGGGAGCATCTTTTGTTATACTTGGTCTCTTGTCCTCAGTTCCTGAAATCAATCGCTTCAGGGCCATAAAGGTGAAATGGGTGCCTTGTCACTCGTAACAAGCCCCTTTCCACCACAACTGGGTTTACGTTAATGAGGTGACTTTTGGAAAGTACCGAAGCATGGGGGCTGGTTGCCAGGGGAACCAACCATAAATAGAGGGGTGGAACTTTTAGTCCTATCTCTATTTCCAGGCAGGGGAGAAGGGCTGGGGGCTGAATCAATCACCAACTGCTAGTGAGTTAATCATCACGCCTATGTAATGAAGTCTCCACAAAACCCCACAAAAGACGGGAATCAGCTTCCAGGCTGGGGAACCAAAGTGCTTCCAGGGGCCCCAAAACCCCGTGAGAATGAAGCTCCTTTGTTTGAGAGCTCGCCCCGTGGATCTCTTCATCTGGCTGTTGATTCATAACCTTTAAATATCCCTTGGAATAAATCTGCAATCTAATGAGTAAATGGGTTTCCTGAGTTCTGTGAGCAGCTCTAGCAAATTAATCGAACCCAAGTAGGGGGTCATGGGAACCTCTGATTTGTAGCCAGTAGGTCAGAAGCACAGGGTACAACCTGGACTTGCCACTAGCATTGGAAGGTGTGTCTCAGTCTTGTGGGACTGAGCCCTGAACCTGTGGGATCTGATGCTATCTCCGGGTAGAGTGTCAGGCTCGTAGGTGAACTGTAGGACACCCTGCTGGTGTCTGGAGTTCTGCTTGCTGGTGGCATGGGGAGTCGCCCCCCAAGATGGAATTAGGTACAAAACCCCAAAGAGTAGCACTCGTCAAGTTTTTTTTTTTTTTTTTTTTTTTTCTTTTTAAGTTTTAATGTGCACATAAATTACCTGGAGAATTTTGTGAACTTTAGATCCTGATTTGGTGGGTCTCGGTAGGGCCCCAAGCTCTCTGCATTTCTGACAAGCTCTTCCTCGGTGCTGACGCTGGTCCCTCCTGGACTAGACTGTGGGCAGGAAGGTTCCCTCCAGCTGCAGAGCAGAGGCTCTCAAGAGAGCCCTCCTGCCTGGCCGGGCCGTTCAGGACCAGAGAGGTGGGAAACAGAGCAAAGCAATGCTTCTCGCCACATCAGAGGAGCCTGAAGTGCAGAGACACGCTGAGCCCTGAGGGCGAGGAGAGAGACGCCGTGGCCAAGCCTGCAGTCACCTGGTCCTGCAGGGCAGGGAGCCGGCTGGGAAACGGCAGGCGGTGTTCAACCACAGGTGGCTCAAATGGCATCTATCTGGAAATGCGAAGCCCTGCTTAGGCGGTGAATCAGAGCTGGACAAGCTCACCCGGAAGACCAGTGCCCTAGAAAGACGGTTATCAGACTGATGCCTCCCCGCTATGGAAGTCTTTGGTAGCCAGGCTGGAGGGCTCCAAACTTGGCCTTGAACTAATACGAAGACAGAGTCATCTTAGTTAATGTGCAAGGAAGAAAGCCGGAAGGAACAGCTAACACCTGGATGACCAAAACCGAGATTCGACATTATCTGTCCCTGGCAGAATGGACAAAAACCAAAACGTGAGTTCACATGTAAAACCTCATTTTAAGAAAGATCGACTGCACAAGAACAGAAGGGGAAATCCCTGGACCGTCAACAGCTCGTGGGAAAAGAGGTGGGGTGCGGAGCCAGTGGGGGGCCGTGTAGCCTGCACGCCTGTGCGGTGCCTGCAGAGCAGCGCGCGGCCCATGCTGGATGCCTCTTTTTATGGAGACTGATGTAAAAGGAACGGGCTATCCCCCAAGGCAGCGAGCTCCCTGGTCCCACCCGAGCAGAGCGGCACAAACTGTCCTGTCAGGTTGGGAGATGACCTCTGAACTCTTCCCACGTCAAGACCCTGTGACTCAAGCAGTCTTTGGACTGCTTTGAGCAGACATACCCATTTTTTCTGTATGAGGTGAACGAATATTCTGAGTTTTGAAAAGTGCCCTGCTGGGGTGCATAGTAGAGGATGCCAGTGACTATCATTCCGTTGCACCCCTGCATCCCTGGAGCACTGCTGCGGGGGCCAGAGCTGAGCAGAGAGCAGGTGTGTACCACAGGACACCTGCCTGGGGAGGCCGGTAAACCCGCCTGGAGGCTTAACAGGCTCTCCCTCTTCTGGATGCCTGTAGCTTCTTTTTCAGTCCTTTCTCTTCTTTTGGGGACCCTGGCTACTATCCCCCAGCAGCCTGCTGCCAAGCCCCTAGGCTGACCCCCTGGCTGCCGTCACTCCTCACTGCCCACCCCCATCCACAGATCACGGCCATCCGTTCTCGCTGCAGAAAGCACCTCTCCATTGTCCAGTGGCTGCCGGCTGCCCACACCCAGCCCCCTCTCGACTGTGAGGAAGCTGCCTGATTTCACTCTAGGAAATCAACACCCACACCCCTGTTCGTCTCCTCGACCATGGGTAGTCACATGACCCTAGCGTCAGGAAGTGATTCTGTCCGGGACAAGTAACCCGACCCGCCAGTGAGACGTTCCTGGGGTCACATGGCAGACCTGCTCTGCGAGAGAGGCTCTCCCCTAGGATGGCCAGAGGCTGCCAGGAGCCCCCACATGGAGATCCAGAGTCCTGCCCACATCATTCGTGTCTTAGACCCGGGCGGGCTGAACGATGTCGGAACGTCACACTTAGGTGAGCTGACCCATTTCCATTTTCACTTAAGTCAGTGAGAGTTTTACTCCGTCATCTCCAACCAAGAGCCCTAATACATCATCTAAGCCACAACTGAGAAAGTAACCCATTCTAAAATGTTACCAGCGGTAATGCCCTAAACATCATGGGAGCATCTTAACATAAACACCTTGATCCCAAGTAAAACCTCCCGTGACTGAATGTCGGGAAACACGGACAGGCCTGTGGGGAGATCACGTCAGGTGCAGGGGCTGCCCCAGGACCCTCTGTGGGGCAGCTGCTCACTCATCTCCACACACGGCCAGCCCTGGGGCTGCAGCCGGGGGCACTGACCACTCTACCTGTCTAGTAAGGCTGCCGCCGAGGTTCATGGTGCCAGAGCCGGATTTGTTGGTCTGCAGCCACAGCATCACCGTGGAGGTCAGCTTGTAATGGGCGGTGCGACCGCTGGACTTCTCCTGTAGGAAGAGACAGAGATCAGAGCCTTGGGCACAACCCTGAGCTGAGGAGAGCCCGAATGGCCCCTGAATTCAGGTCATTCTAACACGTCCCTTCCTAACACGTCACCATGACATGACCTTATAGAATCCCAAATGGTTTTTAAAGGGGCCGAATCTGCGGTCACTGTATCCAAGTTCTTTGGGGATCTTTTTCATCAATGACTACTGCGATCCTGACCTATCTTTATCCACATGGCTATGGGCACTTTTAGGAATCAGCAGGGGTTTATACATCACAACATATCCCCATCAAGAAGCACCTGCTAGGGAACAGGCCGCACCGTTTGGGCTGCCAGCTGCAGGCGGGGGGTGGGGGTGGGAGCTGTACCTGCACTTCCACCACGTGGATGGAGTCCCAGCAGCCTTTGATCTTCTTTGATCCATCTCCAGCCTTCTTTATGAGGATCACTCCAGCAAAACCATGATCCAGATCCCAGAGGTAGACAGACGAGACGCCGCCTTCAAAATACCTGCAGGAAACAGGCCCACGTGTCCATGAGATGTTAAGCCCGTCAAATTACAGATCATCACCCCAGGTCCCAGGGGTGGTCATTTGGCAAAGATTCATCTAAATGTCTCTCTGGGATTAACGACCCTCCCTACGGTGGTTCCAGGGTTGGTTCTTGCATGTGTCCTGCTCATTCGTTGGTCAGGGGAGGGGATGCAGCATCCTTTCGGGTGGGGGGCTCACAGAAAGAACACGGAATTAGGAGTCCAAAAGATGAATCTGAGGCTGAGCTGCCCTTCCTCTAGCTTTGTGGCCTTTGGCAAACTGACTCCACTTCTCTGGGCTTCACATTCCTTCCAGAAGAAGAAACGTGTGTGACATGTAACAGACCCCCAATGGGGGTCATTCCCATTGAGTAATCATTACCGTGTGATACTCCTATCTTTTGGGATGGCTACTTTACAGGCGAAAAACAGGAAAAACAGAGCAACAACAGTCCAGACTTGTCCCACTGAGAGCAGACAGAGCTCTGTTCCCCCCGGAACGCTCCAGGGCCTGCACACGCTGGGGTTTCTGTGGGTTTTTCAGAGCGACCTGCTGCAACTGTATAGCCTGAAACGAAGGGCTAAGGTTGGGACCGAGCTTCCTCCGCAAGTCTGAGGCAATACTGAAAAATTCCTAATTCAGATCAAATGCAGGAGGAAAAGAAAAGGCCAGAGGAGCAAAGGAAATCAGGCAAGGATCCCAAATTCAAGGGCACCAAGGCAGCGGCTGTCCGTACAGGTCCGAGGAGCTCAGAAAGCAAAGGCGGACCACCAGCTGACATGGCAGCACCTCAAATTCTGCTGACGACCAACTACGACTCTGGAACGATGGAGTCTCTGGTGGCTAATAGCACACTCTTTACCAGAAAGTCTGTGGCCTCTTTGACCCCATTTAACCCTGCATCAGTGGTGCGGAAGGTGCACTCCAGGACTCTCCAGGAGGCTCGGGGCTGCGGCCTCGGATGTGAGCAGCAGGCAGGCACCGAGACGCACGGGCTGGGGAGTCAGGCAGGCACATGTCCCCATGCCCACCCCGCCAGTCACCAGTTACGTCACACGCTTATCCACCTGATGACTACTTATCAAGAGCTACCAGCTACCGGCTCTGCGAACTGGGCCTTAGTTTCTTTATAAAGCAGGGACAGTATTGGGACTTCCCTGGCAGTCCAGCTAAGGTTAAGGCTCCACGTTCCCAACGCGGGGGGCCCGGGTTTGATCCCTGGTCAGGGAACTAGATCCCGCATGCCACGACTAAAAGATCCCACACGCCGCAACTCAAGACCCGGCACAGCCAAATAAATAAATATTAAAAAAAACCAAACAAACAGGGACGGTATCTACTTTCTAGGACTGTTGAAAGACAAAAACAATACAGGAAAGTAGATACCTAACCAAAGATTATTATTTTCATAACAAAAACAAGTAATAGAAATAAACATGTATATGAATTACACCTCGATAACGCTGTTACATGATAAAAAATATACATGGTAAATGCTAATATTTAGAGAATGTAAGCGATGGGTATTCCAAGAATTCTTTGTACTCTTTTTTGGATAATTTTGCTGTAAATCAAACTCTTTCAAACTAAAAAGTTTTCGTACAAAGGCCAGTATGTGATATACACCAGAGTGTAACCGAGAGACAGACGGAAGAGGTAGTCCCTCTTCATGCTGGCGAGCTGCAGGGCCCCGCGGCTGCTTTGTCTCTGGCTCTGACCCACCGCAGGCCCACTGGGCGTGGCGCATGAGGGCCCACACCTCGGTCTGTTCCCCTCGCGCCCTCCCCGCCAGCATTCCTCAGGGAGACTGTCGCGACTGCTCCATCCCGCGCTACCCATTGCGATTGAGCTGTCAAGTGAAATGCACAGCTGTCTCCCCTGGCCAGTCGGCCCCAGAAGGCAGGTGACGGCAGGAGGCTGTATCAGGTGCCAGCCCCGGGGCTAGATGTTGGTCAAAAGATTGAGGGACTGAGGTTGAGGGACTGAGGGAAAGGAAAGATCGAGGGATTGAGGACTCTGGCTTCCGACCAGGGCAGCAGAGCGTAGAACCGTGAGGGGAAAGCACGGGAGAATGGAGAGACACACCTGCGGGCCCGAGCTCAGTGCCAGCCCAGGGCAACTCCGGGAACCTGGCCAACGCTGGGCACTCGGGGACCCCACTCGGGAAGGCGCTTTCCCTTGTTCTAGATCTCTCCCCAGACCCCAAGTAGGTAAGTGTTCTGGCGTAGAGCCTGAGGCGCCCCCAACTTCCCTCCACAGGGCCGCCCTGACCTGGCCCAGCCCTGCAGGGAGCTGGTCACACGCCGGGCCACCCTGGAACGTGGTCACCTTGGGACCAGACCCCTCACTCAGGTGAGCGGGCGGCATGGGCTCCGGGGTTTTGGTGCCCCCTCCCCGAATTCCCCGGGAAGCAGAGCTGCACTATGGCGGGCGGGAAGGGCAGCCCAGGGCAGACCCGCCAACACCCGTCCTTTCGGTGACAGATGGCTGGGTTCCATCGCATGGTTTTCCCTTTCCGCCTGCTTGTCGGGAGAGCAGCCCCACATCAAAAGGGAAAAAACAACTTTTAAAAATGTGGCTTTTCTTGTGCTGGCAGAAGTGGGCCGCTAATTCCTTCTTTCCTGGAGCGAAGGCGCGAAGCCCAGAGGGCGTGTTCATCCTTCTGCCCCTCGAAGCCCGAGGCCCCCCGCCTCAGGCGCCTTCCAGCCCAGAGTGTTGTTCTTGTCTCTGTGCTGGGACTCGGGGGAGGGCAGGTCAGGCTGCCCTGGGAGGGAACCAGCAGAGGGCCTGGTGGCTTGACAACCCTCCTCGACACCACCTGGCAACCAGTTCAAAAGCACCAGGGGGCCTGTGGTTGAGCCCTCTCAGTCCCCTCCCTTAGATTTCTGTTTTCTTCCAGAAGAATAAAACAACAGCATTACCGTTTTGCGGGGCGGAACTGGCCATTTCCACTCCAAAGTCCCACCTCACGGCCCGGCTCCGCTCCGGGCAGCTCCTCCCTGGCATCCTCAGCTTCCCTTGTGGGCCACACTGACCAGGTCCAACGTTACAAAATGTTGGAGACAAAGGAGGTAAAAATGCAAGCTCGACTCTGATGCTCACGTGGGTTACTATTCTTCCCCCAAATTAAAAAAATTATTAGAAGAACATTATTTTAAAAAAAGGAAGTTTACAATTTAGCCCACAACACCATAAATCAGCTTATCCCATAAATCTCATTTTTCCAAATTCCCCTCCGGTCTCTGTCCAGACGCTTACTTTTATGTAACTGTAGGCACAGCAAGGGGACGGGGCTGGGCTCGGCTCTCCTCACTTGGCCGGGATCACGAGCACCCTTCCACGGAGCCACGTGAGCTCCGTAATTGGTTTCATAGCTGGGAGTGTCCCGTTGGGTACTCCCCTAACTTACAGGCGATCGGACCTTCAGTAAAGAGACGAGGGCAGCAGCGCCAGAGCGGACCCACATTCCATTCACCTAAAGGGGCCTCTGGGGACGCGCACGGCTGCGAGTCTCAACCCGATGTTCCAGGACAAAGGGACTGGAGGACGCGTGATGAGAAAGGGCCGGCTCAGAATCGCCCAGAAGGCCAGCCTCTGTGGCAGAGTGGCCACGGGGCACTGACAGACCCCGTCCCACGGTTTATGGCCCTGCTCTGCACGTGAAGCGTTAATTAAAGAGGGACCTCAACAAGTTTTTGGAAATTTATTCTTACCTACTGTACTTTGATCATAATGACATGAAACGGGAAAAAAAGTAATTTTTATGTGGTTCACATTTATGAGTTTTTACATAAAGGCTTTTGTGGGTATTTTAAGAATGTGCTAAAATGTTGTCTGAAACCACAGAAAGCCACCTGAGGAGCCGCCCGCCAGAACCGACAGCGCGCGGAAGCACTTTAGCTGGCCTTCGTATATTTAATGAGTCAAATAGTATTAACATTGTTTAAATGCTAACATTCTATTTCAATAAGGGGGCTCTGCCATCCCTGGCGACTCGCTCTCGGGCTGCGCACGGCAGCATGAGCGAGGCATCAAGAGTGCCCTGGCGCTGCAAGCAGGCGGCTGAGGGGTTCACCCGGCCAGCCTGTGCTCTGCCCCTCCTCCACAGGGCAGGGAGGGAGGACGGTCCCAGGACCACTGCCATGGCCCAGCCGCGCTGGGCACAAAAGGGGAGGCCCAGAGGTCTGTCAAGGGGGCAGCTCGGGGAACATCTTTAAAACGTGGACGCCCAAAGACGAAACCCCTGGGCTTTTATTAGCCCTGGTACCTTCAGGGAGTGAGGGCTGAAATCCACACACACGGTGAGGACGGTGAATGACCTGTTAGCCACAGGGACACAGGGACAGTCTGTGGGGACGCTGCAGAGAAGCCGGCTTGGAAAGTCGAACCAGGCAACAGTGGGGCCTTTCAGAGTTCCAGGAGCATCAGTAGGGGAACCGATAGACCGACCCAGACCAACCCGGGAACGAGAGGAAAACGCTGCTCTGACGTCCACCCAAGAGTGAACTCTTTCAACCAAGCGCCATCGGCTCCACGGTTGGTGGCTTTCAAGAGCTTCCCAGCAGATTAATATTTTTTTAAGGCAAATGGAACTGCAGAGAATTCAGACAGCTGGCATTAAGGAGATGGGGGCACCTGGATTGGCTCCGTTAAGTCCCACCATCTGAAAAACAGCATGTTGACCACAACCAGGTTTCATCAACTTCAAAAGACCAGGTCACCAGGGCACTGCGCTGGATAAGCCAGGAGCCACAGGCAAGCCCCTCAGGTGGGCTGGCTATTGCCCCACACAGCCAATCACACTGAAGCGCCTGGGCGAGTTAGACCCTGAACCTGGATCAGCGAAAAGCCTGGGGTGTCAGTGACTCTCTTTTTCCCAGAGAGCTATGTCGTTTCCCCCTGAAATGCACTCCTCCACTTGACCAAAGTCAGCGTCATGCATACAGATTCTATGACCATAACTCTCCAACCTCAGGA